AAAATGTCTCATTTTTTTTTTACATATTATAGGCGATAGTAAAACGCCGTCGCAAAAGACAACATTTGTCGTCGCAAAAAAAGGTGACAATGTCATGTCGTCGCTAAAACGTTTTAGCAACACCCTCTATTGTGACCCTCCCTTTGCCGTCACTAAAATTTTTTTGAGACGGCATTAGGAGTATTAGCGATGGCATTTTTCCATCACGAAAAACTGAAATTTTTGTAGTGATGTCATATGCTATAGATTTAGAATTTAGGATTTATCAATGTATATTGCATGTCATCTTTTGTATTGATCAAAGTTATAAATGAAATAGAAGATATGATGTTATTAATCATTTGTAAAAAATAATATGAAATGAGTTATAGTTATTACTGCAATTACAACACTTTTTTTCTTTTTAAGAAAAAAACACATCACGATGTTTGCTTTGATGTTCATAAATTTGTTTCATAAATTTTTTTCTAAAACAATAAAAACTATTTTGGTTAAAGAAATAAAAAATTAATTTATTTTAAAATATTTTTTTAATATTTATTTTTATCAAATTAGTTTCCATTTTTTCAAGAACAATTATGAATTTTTTTTCTTAAAAACAAACCAAACAACGCAAATTATCTATACAATTTTTTATATACAAAATTTGTTTATATACTATTAATATAGAAAAACACAAAATGCAAAATTAAATATTAAAATTATTACAAATAAAACAACATTAACTAAATTGATATTACAACGACTATCACTATAATTTGTGTTTTTATTTTTTTAGATCTGGAGAAGGACTCATCTTTCTTTCTTTTTTAGATCTGGAGAAGGACTCATCTTTCGTCATTGAACATTTGATCACCAATTGAGATGCATTTTGTCCAACTAACTTTGGTTGATTCATACTCTACTTACTTCATAAATAATAAATAAATAAAGAGCAAAGTCTGACCAAAAGTCACTAATCAAAGTCTTTTAATAAGACAAGCACACTCTAATAGTTTATAGTTTTTAATGTACAAAATTCTTTATAAAAAAAAAAAAAAAAGATTTTTAAGTAATATGGACACAAATATGATGTTCCTTCATTTTTGTAGTTAATTTTGTGCAATGCTCATGCACAAAATTGACAAGTGTTTTGGTGGTTTGGGTATTGGCCCTTTTATTGATTTTTTTTTTAAAAAAAAAAGTATATAAAAAGTAATGAGAAGGACTTGACTTTTTGTAATAATTTTTTTTTGACTATTTTATTAAATTGTCAAATCATCCTGTATTTATTATGTAAAGACAACTAAAAAAAATGAACAATAAAAAAACTTTATTAAAGTTAATCAACTTTATTTTCAAAGAATGATAATATATGATACGGTCGGTGAAGAATAAATAATCCAAAGAACAATCAATCTTATCTTCTAGATATTTGGGAAAGATTTGATCCCAAATTTTTCAAGGTCTTTATTAAAGCTAATCAACTCAATGACCTAGACATTCTTTTCAAATAATAGTAATTTGATGGTAGTTGAAAAATAAAAAAATCCAAAAAAACAATTCATCTATAAAAAATGTGAAAAAAAAATTGACCTCAAATTTTTTAGTCACAAAATATAAAATATCGCATCTAACTCATAATCATTACATTCTTTCTCTTACAAAAAAATCAAAAAAATCAAAAAAGTCAAAAGTCCTTTCCAAATGAGATTTTTTAGTCCCAGACTAAAACGGCCAAAAAAATCAAAAAGTCAAAAAATCAAAAAGCCAACACACTTTCCAAACGAACCCTATGTTGAAAAATAAGTAACCCAAAGAACAATCAATCATTTAAAAATTTGGAAAAAAAAAAAAATTTTGATCCTATAGGAGTGTAAATTTGGCCCGGTTCGGTCTGGCTTGATCCACTTGGACTTGGGCTCGGGCCGGTCCATATTGGGCTGCGTGGGCTTCCGCCAAAATTTAGGCCAGGCTAGGTTAGCCCACGAGCTAGAAAATTATGTCCAGGTACAGAGGATATTCGGGTCTTGGGCGGGCTGAACATTTTATTTATTTATTTATTATTTTTTTCACTAAAAATTTATTCTTTTCTATAAAAAATGACACTAAATCTCTGGCGAACCGAGTCTCGAGCCAAACTTTGAATGGGTCTTGAGCGAACCAATGGGCTGAGCTCCAAAACACACGGCTCACGGTCCCAGGCTAGGCTTGGGCCTAGTCAAGCTTGGTCGGGCCGAGCCTACCCGGGCCGCGAACGAGTTTTGGGTGACCCACAAGCCATTTTACACCCCTAGATTTTCTAAGATTTTTATTAAAGCTAATCAACACAATGACCTTAATGTTCTTTTCAAAGAATTTTATGAGATGAGAAGTTGAAGAATAAGTAACCGCAAGAACAAATATCTTTTAAAAAATTTAAAAATATTTGACCACAAATCTAGTTGTGAATTTGTTTTTCTTTGTCTTTTATGAGGTTTTATTGGCATTATAGAAGTAAGTACATCACCTCTGATTTGAATGTGTTATAGAAAATGGATTAAGAAAAAATATCCAAATTAGTTGTTTGTTTCATAGGAAAACTCGAGTGAAATTTCAGTATGCAAAAATGCTTGGAACTCTTTAAATTTTGTGACTCCCATTATCTCTAATTGATAGGTGTGGTGGTTTGGAGTCCGTAGTCGGACTATTCTCAGTATGTGAAATAAATATTAGTTTATGCATGACTTTCAAGGAAGGAAAGAGAGAGAAGTAAGCGGGTAAGTATAAAGTAAGAGCTTATTTGGAAATTGATTGTTTATGGAGATTTGTGTGTGTGTGTGTGTGTTGGGGGGGTTGGTTGTAGTCGGACTGTTCTCAGTATGTGAAATAAATAAGAGCTTATTTGGAAATTGATTGTTTATGGAGATTTGTGTGTGTGTGTTGGGGGGGTGGTTGTAGTCGGACTATTCTCAGTATGTGAAATAAATATTAGTTTATGCATGACTTTCAAGGAAGGAAAGAGAGAGAAGTAAGCGGGTAAGTATAAAGTAAGAGCTTATTTGGAAATTGATTGTTTATGGAGATTTGTGTGGAGATTGTAATAGGCAAATTTATTATGGAATAGATATTATAAGAATTAATGATATTTTTTTATTAAATATTATTAAAAAATGTTATTAATTATTAATTTTTAACAATAGTTTAAAATTTTTGTTACAAAAAAGTCACTAATTAAAAGTTTTAACAATAGTTTAAAAAAATGGTTACAAAAAAAGTTACTAATTTTTAACTTTCAAAAATAGTTTAAAAAATTCATTATGGAAAAAACGTCACTAATTATAAGTTATAAAGATAATTTATAAAATTTGTGACAAAAAAAGTTACTAATGGTTAATTTTTAACGATATATGCAAAAAATCGTCATAAAAAATTATTTTTTTGACGATTTTACTAGAACTTATTTTTAATAGAATTTGATGGGATTAAATCTAATTATTAGAACTTATTAGTAGTTTATCCTTATTTTAATTAATTTTTTAATTTTTTACGAAAATATATATAAAAAAATAAAAAGAGTGATATGATTGGATGTTTCGAATTTTTAACTATTTTTGCCAAATATATCCAACATGCCAAACACATCTTTAAAATAAAAATATTACAATTTAAATTTACTTAATTTTTTATTAATGATACACAAAATAAATTACCGTTCCGATTCGTAGCTCGAATTTTCCATAGCCTCTCAAATTCTCTACTGAATTGCAAATAACTTTATGCACGCCACTAGTATGTAATTTGCGTAAGTTATTTAATGCTCCCCGTGACTCCTAAAAGAACACGATCCCCAAGGAATAAAAAATTTAATGCTGTCCCCAATAAGGAATCCAGTAAAATAACTTTATGATGCTCCCCATGTGGTTCCTTAATGATTCCATAGTAGTGGCTTAATCCATAGGAGTGGCTTAATGAAGGTTTTCATTTTTATAGCATATGATACACAAAATTAAAATACAAAAGATATATAAAAGCTTGGCATGCGTTCCTTGACCGATCAAGTACATGACCTCCAAGGAAAAAAAGCCAAAATCTAATGACCTTCGAGGAAAAGATTTAACATTTTGCATGCCAAGAGAATAAAAAAGTTAAACTCTTAAAAAGTAATCAAAGGAATCAAAGTTGTCAGCTCAGGGAATCATTAGCGAATTGGAGGTGGCTAGTTTCAAACTGATGACAAGGAGTACAAACAAATTCAGGATCACGATAACATCATAAACGAAATATTACTAACTAACAATGATAGTGCAATTCGATCGGCTGAGGACGGATCAGACTAATTTAAGGGCTTCATGAGCAAAGGATCCTTGGTTCCTTCTACTTGACCTACAAGAAGTCCAATGGAAATTAGATATATGCAATGAACCATAAAAATTTATATTGAATTTTATTCCGAAATAAATTATATGATGTGAATTTAAAATTATTGAGATATGAGTCAGACTTAAAATGATTATAATACATAGATGTATTTTTCTAAGTAATATTTTTAAGTTTGTAGCATTGTTATAATAATTATTCCAAAGGGTATGGCTTCTGTCCAGTCTGGGATCGGAGTGGATCGTGCTGTTGGGCCCGTGGGGGCCTATCATGGGTCCCGTTTTGATAATCTGAACCGGTCAATGTGTAGAACTCGTCGAGTACTATATGCTTGTAAAAAATCACGTTGATCGGATATCGATAGCTATGTGATCAAAAAAGTTTTTTGTCAACCGCTAATTTGTTCACCGTCCAATTTTTTTAATACGAAACTGATTTGATCATATAGCTATCGATATCCGATCAACGTGATTTTTCATAAGTATATAGTACTCGACGAGTTCTACACATTGAACGATTCAAATTATCAAAACGGAACCCGTGGTGAGCTCCCACGAACTCAATAATACGGTCCAATCCGATCCCAGACTTGACAGAAGCCGTACCCTATTCGAAATAGAGCTAAACATAGTAGAGAAAGTCTTCCATATTCTTTTCCGATCTCATTTCTCTATTTGTATGGTAGAAGACAACTATTACATGACACACGCTCTATTTCTCTCTCTTTTCAAACACAAGCACAAGGATGAGACATGAAAACATACCTCGATTTCACCATCTACTTCAACTTATCAGAGTATTTCATGCAAACTTCTCCAACCCAAGCCGGAAACTTGATGTAAGTTTTATATAATGGGATTATTTGGTGTAGTTTATTTGAATTGTTCAGTCTTCTTTTTTTTTTTTTTTTTTTAATATTTTAACAATCTGTGTTAGTTTGTTTGGTGTGCTTTTTGCAAATTTATTAAGCAGAAATAATTTAATTAAGCTGAAAAAACTTATTTCTAAAAGCTGAATGATAGATAATTTTGACTTTTTAGATTATCTACTTTTGATTTGCAATAGACAACGCCCAAGAACACCGTTATAGGTGTAGATTTAGAGTTCTGCTTCTCCAATAGTTCGATGTTTCTTGCTTAGATTTACTTCAAAAGAAAAATGATGAAGGAGACAGAAATGGACACGGAATTTATATAGACCCCCATGATTTTACATGTATATATTTATCAGAACCATGTCTTAGGCAATGTCCTTTTGCTCCAGTCCATGGTTGTAAAATTCAAAGATTAAGTGCCATTCCTAATCACTTGATCCCGGAAAATGGGGGTATGGACAAGAGTCAAACTTGAGTTAATACCTTAGGGGTTGTGATATTGGAAAAGTCTATTGTCCCTGTCCCAAAAATAAAGGGGCAAGATTAGAATTTTACATCAATGGCCTTTGATTTGAAATTCTGTGTAAATTTCTGGTTTTATTTTCTGAATTTGTAGACTCATTGTACAATATTTGTTAATCAGTAATGTTAGGTATTATGAAAAAAATTTTATGAAAATAATCATGAAAACTTTGTGACCCTTTGATTATACTTAGAATAAAGCATCACACACAAATCAAGGTAATCCAAGGATCATAACTCTTTCATGATCATTTTCATGAAAAAAATTTCATGATCCTTAACTTTTTTCTTTGTTAATAGGTCCAAGTGAATTTTGTGTCTACATTTTGTATTCTGCTTATGTGTTCTATAATAATAGAAAAGAAGGGAAATTAATACATGCATTTTGTGATATTTTTTGCGACTGGGAGGCTTGAGCCTTGATCAAAGTCAGAAGATGATACACGCACGCACGTGATCATAAAAGAAACTCTACATAAATCAGAAAGTTTCCACTTGGGGGAAAAAAAAGGTTGCATCTCAGCTCTTTTGGATGCAAAAATTGCCAATTATGATGATGCATGCAGGTACTTCTGTAATTTAAGTAATTATGATTATTATTATTATCATTATTTTTCAATGATAAGTGAATTATATTTAGTCTGTATTTGATTCATGAATTTAGAAAGAGAAAAAAGAAAACGGTAGATAAAATATGAATGAAATATAGTTATACTCACGGCTGATTAAATTGATTTTTACCAGCATTTTAGAAACGTCACTAAAACTATCAAAAAACGCCGGTAAAACATTTTAGTGGCATTTATAGAAAGCGTTGATAATGTGACTGTGTTAATTTATATATTAGTTTTAGATATATTAGATTTAGATTTATCTCCTTGTATCTCTATCTCTCTCTCCTTCTATACTTATCTAAGTTTGTGTTCAGCCTATAAATACAGGCTCTCCTATTGTACTCAATTCAATTCAATATACACTGATACACAGTTTTCCTTTTCTTTCAACCATTCTAACATGGTATCAGAGCTCTAGGTTCTACTAGGGCTGAGCATGGTTCGGATTGGACCGGATTGGGGTAAAACCAGGACCAATCCATTATCTACGGTTCTTGAAAAATTGGAACCAATCCAATCCGTTTAAATCATGGAACCAATCCGAACCAATCCATTTAAATACGGATTGGATCGGTTTAGGACCACGGATTCACATAATTAAATAACAAAAATATATATATAACACTTTAATTTCATAAAAATATAAACATAGCACTATATTAGTTCCACAATAGCAACATCTATTTCTATAATAGCGACATACTGTGCTAGAATTTAAACAACCATAAGAAAACTAGTTTCACCATAAATATTTAGACCATTACAAATTAAAACTAAAAACTAACAAACAAAAGTAATAAAAGAAGATATTATATGGTTTTAGGTTTGAGTTTAGATTTTATATAGAATAAGAGAAGATACTATGGGGGAGGGTGTGTAATAAAAATGTATGCTATTTGTATATGGTCCGGATTGGTTCCAATCCGGAACCGTAGGGTTCAATCCAGAACCAATCCGTGTACTACGGATTTTTAATTTTTCAATCCGGAATCAAACCACGGATTCAAAAAACCAATCCAAACCTATCGGATTGGACTGGACTGGATCGGATTACGGATTTCACGGATTCCTTACTCAGCCCTAGGTTCTACACCTATAGCCCTTTTATTTTCTCTTTATGCTTCGTCCCGTACACAAGTGGTACTACAGCACTCATTCCACCACCTATACACTTTATTATCTATGTTCCAGCACCAAACTGATCAGAATATCCTCACAATCCCAACGGTACCGACCACGTCACCAGAAACTCGTTCACGCACCCTCATGCGCCGTTTCTGTGCTCGGCGCGTCTTTGCTTCCGCCACCACTCTCACACGCGCCTTCATACGCCCTTCAGTTGCCTACTCACGTCAACAATCGACGTCAGCCCTACGCGTGCGTACGCCGTCCTGCTACTGCGCACCCACATGCGCCGCTCCTACTACCATGCACCCGCGTGCACTCTTCCTGCTACCGTGCACCCGTGTGCACCGTTTCTACTACTGTGCTCCACGCATGCCTCTGTCGCTATCGTGTGCCGCACACCACTTCTGCTAACGTGCGCCACACACGCTGACGTCACTCTCTTCTTGCTAACGTCATCTTTTGGCCTATTAGGTGCATTTTTTGGCTATTTTTGGGCCAATTAACTGCTCTCTAGCTATTTTCAACATTCCAGATTCATTGGGACACTCTGTTTCACCCAGTTCTACTCCGTCACTATTGGGCCCTCTTTGTGACTCATTCTTTGATCACTTCATGGATCATTTAGATAGTTCTCCTCTCTACGGTGGCTCTTCTGGATCTGCTGTTAGTCGACATGACTCTTCGATTCAGTTTGCTTCTGCTATTGTTGCACTTGCCTCCTCTTCCACTCACACTGTTCCTGATATTAAAGCTATTATGCAAAAGGTTTTTTCCACTTCTGGTACACCTTCTACTGCTATTTCAGTCACCCCAGGTACATCTTCATGGTATTTTGATTCGGCTTGTTGCAATCATATGACCTCTGACCCTACACTGTTTTCTTCCACGACATCTCCTTTTAATTTACCTACCATTCTTACTGCTGATGGTTCTCACATGCATGTTAGTCATGTAGGTCATATTTCTACCTCTAATGTCTTTCTCCCTCACACTTATCTGATCCCTAATCTTACACTTAATCTTGTCTCTATTGGTCAATTCTATGATCTTGGTCTCACTACTCTATTTTCTCCAACTGGTTGTGTTGTGCAGGATCCGAAGACGAACCAAACCCTTGGGATAGGTCGTAGACATGGACGTCTATACGAGCTCATCTACCTTCACATTCCCTCCTCCAGTACTTCCAATGTTGAGACTACTGCTTCTGCTACTATTAGTTCTCCTCTTGTTTTATGGCATTCTCGGTTAGGTCATGTGTCATTTGGTTATCTACACTCTCTAGTTTCAAGTGGTCAGTTAGGTGATGTTCTAAATGATAAAGTAGACTATCTATCTTGTCAACTTGCAAAACAGCCTGCCTTGCCATTTCCTACTAGTACCTCTATGTCTCATGCACCTTTTGATCTCATACACTCTGATGTTTGGGGGCCTTCACCTAATGCCACTATAGGAGGATCTAAATACTTTGTTATATTTGTCGATGATTTCACTCGTTTTACTTTGTTATTTCTTATGAAATCTCGCTCTGAGTTACAACAAATATACTATGATTTTTCTCACATGGTCAAAACTCAGTTTTCCTCCGCCATCAAAATTTTTCGTGCTGATAATGTTCAGGAATACAAAGAAACTCATTTTTTGAAATTTCTTCGTCAAAATGGTACACTTTCTCATTATTCTTGTCCTGGTACCTCTCAACAAAATGGTCATGCTAAGCGCAAACATCGCCATATCCTCGACACTATTCGTGCTCTTTTAATCTCTTCTTCTTGTCCTGAACGTTTTTGGGGAGAAGTTGTTCTCACAGCAGTTTATACTATCAACCGTGTTCCTTCCCCTACCATCAACAATCAAACCCCATATGAGCGTCTGTATGGCACACCTCCTACCTATACTAGTCTTCGTATGTTTGGATGTGCTTGTTCTGTTCTTCTTCAACCACATGAGCGTACCAAATTAAAACCTCGTTCCCGTTTGTGTTGCTTCTTGGGATATGGGATTGAACATAAAGGTTATCATTGTTGGGATCCTCTTTCTCGTCGTCTTCGTGTCTCTCGTCATGTAGTATTCTGGGAACACAAAATGTTCTCCTATATATGTAAGTTTCATTTGTCCACTTCTCTCACTACACCATTCTTTACAGATCCCTCTCTTCTGTTTGATGAGCTTGATACAGACACTATTTCTGACATGATGACTCTGACCCATCCTGAGGATTCTGCTCCGTCTCCTGGTCTTACTATTCCACTCTCTGATCCTGAGCCGGCTTCTGTACCTGCTCCACCTCTCAGTGAGCCTCATACATCCCTTGATTCCACTACATCATCTTCTACACCAGAGATATCTCTTCGTCATTCTACTGGGGTAACACAACCTTCTGTACTTCTTCATGATTTCATTGTTGGTTCCACTATTTTTTCTTCTCATGAACCTACTTCCTATCAAGAGGCTTGATCTAACCCTCTTTGGCAGCAAGCTCATACCTGGGATGTAGTTGACCTTCCACCTAGCAATAGTGTTGTTAGTTACAAATGGGTTTACGAGATCAAAACCCATTCTGATGGTTCCATTGAGCGTTACAAAGCTCGTCTTGTGGCTCAGGGGTTTACTCAAGAATATGGGATTGATTATGAGGAAACATTTGCTCTTGTTGCTCGTCTTACTTTAGTTCGTAGCCTACTTGCCATTGCTGCTGCTCGCCGTTGGAGTCTTTGTCAGATGGATGTCAAGAACGCCTTTCTCAATGGCGATCTCACTGAAGAAGTTTATCTGCAGTCTCCTCCTGGTTCCTTAGTTCCATCCACCATGGTCTGTAAACTTCGCCGTGCTTTGTATGGTTTGAAACAAGCTCCTCATGCCTGGTTTGCCAAGTTCAGTTCTACCATCTCTTCGTCATTCTACTGGGGTAACACAACCTTCTGTACTTCTTCATGATTTCATTATTGGTTCCACTATTTTTTCTTCTCATGAACCTACTTCCTATCAAGAGGCTTGATCTAACCCTCTTTGGCAGCAAGCTCATACCTGGGATGTAGTTGACCTTCCACCTAGCAATAGTGTTGTTAGTTACAAATGGGTTTACGAGATCAAAACCCATTCTGATGGTTCCATTGAGCGTTACAAAGCTCGTCTTGTGGCTCAGGGGTTTACTCAAGAATATGGGATTGATTATGAGGAAACATTTGCTCTTGTTGCTTGTCTTACTTTAGTTCGTAGCCTACTTGCCATTGCTGCTGCTCGCCGTTGGAGTCTTTGTCAGATGGATGTCAAGAACGCCTTTCTCAATGGCGATCTCACTGAAGAAGTTTATCTGCAGCCTCCTCCTGGTTCCTTAGTTCCATCCACCATGGTCTGTAAACTTCGCCGTGCTTTGTATGGCTTGAAACAAGCTCCTCGTGCCTGGTTTGCCAAGTTCAGTTCTACCATCAGTGACTTTGGATTCTCTTCCAGTGCCTATGATTCTGCTCTATTTATACGCAAGACAAAGCGTGGTGTCATTCTTCTTCTTCTCTATGTTGATGATATGGTCATCACCGGGGATGACACAGTGGGTATCTCTAGTCTCAAACAGCTCCTCAGTCGCCAGTTTCAGATGAAAGATTTAGGGTTGCTTGGTTACTTCCTCGGCTTGGAAATTTCTCTTGATTCTTCTAGTTACTTTCTCACCCAGGCCAAGTATACCTCTGATCTCTTGGCTCGTGCTGGTCTTACCGATTGCAAGACTGCTCCTACCCCAGTTGATCCTCAAACTCGTCTCACACCTCTTGACGGTCACTTATTGTCTGATACTACCTTATATCGTCAGCTAGTTGGCAGTCTTGTTT